AGGCCAGCTGGTGGTCTCCATGGGACTCGTAGGGGTGAAGTCCCTGGGCCAGTTCGGGCCCCCCTGGCTCCGAGAGCTTGCCGAGCCCAGGACCCTGGGCTCCGGCGGGGACAGAGGCAGAGCGGGGCTCACCTCCTAAGGCCCAGCTCATCTGAGCCCTCCTCAGCAGGGGCTGGGACCTGGGGCTGGGGGCACTGGTTTGGGAGGGCCAGGTGACCCCACAGGGGCTGAAATTTCAGCCTGAGCCACCCGAGCCGAAAACTGACACTGGGCCAGGAGGTCATGGGTGGGCCATGCTCCCTGGGCCGGTGACTGGCCCCTGGGTCCCCGCCTACCCTCTGCAGGGTGGGAGGCAGAGGCAGGCACGGACGGGCCCAGGGGTCACCACGGTAGCTGCTGCCTTGGGGACACTCCGTTTGCAGAAGGGGAAACAGGCCAGGGGCCCCGAGTCCGGGCAGCAGGGGCCTCCCCGTGTCGGGGGCCCGTCTGCCCGCCCGGCCCCAGCTCCTGAAGGTCCCTCATGCTGTGGGGCCGCTGGGAGCCTCCCGCCCCCCGCCCCATGTTCCAGCCGCTTCCCCCACACCCAGACGTGTCGCGGTCCTCACCACGTCCCCGCCAGGCCGCCACTTCTCCCTCCCCTGGCGGCGGCGGGGAAGCAGTCCTTCCGGAAGGTGGGGGCTGGAGGTGGGTGTCTCGGGAAGCTCCTGAGGGCCTGCCAGCTCCTTGACGGGGGTTTCAGTTCCGGGGGGGTGGGGGTCCCCGGGCAGGGGCACAGCCCTGCAGGGGTGGGGGGAGCTCGTGCTCAGAACTGTTCTTGTTCTTACGAGGTTCTTCCCTCTACCGTTTGTGCCCCTCTTCCTCCTGGGCACCTTGGCTCCCGCCCCCACGCCATCCTTCCTGTCCCTCCCTGTAGCGGGACCCTCCCCGTGCTCCCTCACTTGGACCTCCCGCCCCTCCCTCCCCACCTCTGCACTTCCTGCGTGGCCGGCCCCGTGTCCCCCTCTTTCCCACTGGACACGTGGCCCCAGCCCATGGCCTACTTGGACCCTGCCCCCATCGGTCCTGCCAAGAAGGCCCTGGGAGGGGCCCTGGGCTCCCTTTCCTAAGAGTCAGGGGTTCCCTGGCTGTCTAGGAGGAGGTGGGGCCCCCGGGGTGCGCCCCTGCCCCACTGCAGCGAGGCTGGCATTTCCTGCCTCCTCCTCCCTCCCGCTTGCCATGCCACCGCCGGAAAGGAGGTGGTGGGGCTTCCCCGGCTTCCTGTCGTGGGGTCCCAAGGGTGGGGGTCCTGGAGGGGCCCCACGTGGCTCCAGAATCTTGGGGAGTACAGATGTCCCTTCCCTCTCTCAAAGGGACCTCAGGGGCTGCCCAGCCATTCCCAAGTGGTGGAAGCTGTGTTTCTGCTCGGAAGCAGCTGCGACAGACCCTCCCCCTCCCCGAAGTGTCTCCTGCTGCTGTCCGTCACCAGGACAGTGTTGTCTCCTTCAGACCTTGTCAAGCACAGCTCTTCACCCCCAGGCTCTGCTCAGGGTGGTACCGGGCGCCTGCTCTGGGGCCGGGAGCCCAGGGCGTCTCCCCTCTGCTCACGCGCTGACGCTGGCCTCCAGGCGTTTGTATTTGAGAGGCAGTTTTGTGGTCCGAAGTATGTTTGTGCCAAAGGAGAGATCTGCCCACCACCTCTTCCATGCAGCCTTCCTGGACTGTTAGCCCTTCAAGGTCTCTTTGCCTGTGTGGGGGCTGCTGGGCATCCCGTCTGTGTGCACAGAGGCCTGTGTCCTTTGGAGGTCCCTGTGAGCTCCCGAGTCTCACTGGGTCCTCATAGTCCCAGAGAGAGACGGCATGGTGGTGGGGAGTGGTGTGAGGGGTGTGAGGTGCAGGGGAGCTGAGCGTGTGAGATGCGGCATTTGGGCGCTGCCCCCCGCCTTGGGCAGCGAGGGCTGGGTGTCTTGCTTGATGTCCTGCGACCCCCAGCCCCGAGGGTGGATCAGATAAGTGTGTGGTGAGCGGCCAGTGACAAGGCCCCAGCAAGTCCAAAGTATGACTTTTAAAGAATAAGGCCTTATCGCCGCCTCCGCTTATCGGCCGCTGGGGACGGATGAATGGTCCGGCGGCGTGGAGCCTGCACGCACGTGGAGGGAGGTGGGCAGGGCCGCTGCGAGCCGAGGATGTTTGGCCTTTTTTTTTGCCTTTTCTTCCTAATGTTCCCCTTCCTGGCCAGAGTTGTCTCCAGAAGACTCCAGAAAACACACCCAGCCCATTGTCACCCAGGCTCCGGGAAAGTGTCTTCTGTGGATGTTCTGTGTAAACAGGAAGCGCCAGAGTGGGGGCCCGGGAGCAGCAGGGGTCCTGAGGGGCAGGCACTGTGTGGAGGCGGGGACCCGCCGCTCCTGCGGACTCAGCAGCGGGGGCGGGGGGGGGGGTCACCCAGCAGTGCGAGCGATTGCTGGGCACTTGGGCACTCACCGTGAGGCCGGGTGGGCGGGCCGGGGGCCTGCTGCAGAGGCTGGGGCCACTCAGAGGCTCGGGTGGGTGCCCCTTCCTCCTGGTTTGCAGACTGGGGCTAGGTGAGGCAGTGCCTTGGGGGGCTGGGGAGCTTTGGGGTGCAGCCGGGCTGCTGGCGGTCAAACAGGCCTCCTCCCTCCCTGCCTCCCTCCCTCCTTCCGGCCAAGCTTTCTCCTGCCTCTCCCTCCCTTTCCTGGGGGAGCAGCGAACAAACAAACAGGGAGGCGCGGGCACTGGCCCTGCAGCTGTGAGCTGTGGCGGCAGCAGAGGCCCCTCCCAGTGGCTGCGGCTGTGGCTGCGCCCCACCCCTGGTGGGGAGCGGAGCAGCCCCGCAGGGCTCTGCTCTGATCGCCCTGGGCCCCCAGGGGTACCTGGGCAGGGGTGGAAACTCCCAGTGGCTTCTCCTGCTTGGCCCTGGAATCCTGGTCTCCTTCCCACTTCTGGGAGGAAAGGGGGGTGGCTCCCGCACGGCCCTGCCCCCTTTCTGTGCTGCCCTGTGGAGGCGTCCGTGAAGCCTGTTCTCCAGAGTCCGTCTCGCCCCCCTTGCCCTTCCCCCCGCAAGTCTGAGAGGTGCTTCTGTGGACTGCGTGGAGGGGGCCGCCCGGGTCCAGGCCATGGCCGCCTCCTGCAGACCCGCTGTGCCGATGGAGAGGCCGGGCCTTGGCAGGGACGAAGCTGACTGCAGGCCGGAGAGGCAGGCCACAGTGCGGCGTCCCGCTGGCCTGGGGCAGGGGCAGCTGTGGACTTCTGGGCTCGTATCTTTGGGTGGGTCTCACACCTTCTCTGTGCCTCAGTCTCCTTGTCTGTGGCAAATGGGTAGATAGGAACTCCGTGAGATCCAGAGTCTGCAGCCGAGCCTGGGTCCGCTGTGCTCCGAGCCTGGCCTCTCCCCGCCTGGCCTCTCTCACCAGCGCTGCCCGCCTCCCCAGGCTTCCTGACCCCGGGACATTTGATGACTAGTGAGGCCCGTCTCCAGTACCCGTCCCTGCCAGCAGGGCACCGCGATCATCTGGTCTGGAATTCTTCAGTTTCGGTTCTCAAGCTCAGTGAAGCAGCTGATCCCCAGTTTTGTGAATGGCCGGGACGGAGCTGCCCACGAGTGGAGTCAGGCAGCGTGCAGGGGCAGGCAGGCTCACGCATCCCGGCTCCGCAGTGGGGTTCGGGCGGGGGGCTGCGTGACTGAAGCAGGTGCACGCTTGCAGAGGAGGGTGTCTGGCAGAGGCGGAGCCCGAACCGCCCACCCCACCCTCTGGGCCGCCCACCTTCAGGACCTCGAGGGACCAGTTCACGAGTCCCTGGGTGAGGGTCTCGGCAGGAGCCATGAGTGCCCGGTTCTGACGCTGCCGCTTGGCAGCCGTGTCCTGAAGCGTGACCATGCACGTCCCCCCACGCTCTGTTTGTACAGGGAACATTCAGGACGCAGCCGCTCCAGGGGCCGGGGAGGGAGGTTTTCCCTGGGGCCGTGGCGCGGTGCAGCCAGGGTGTGCCCCTGACCGGGGGCCTTCGTGGATGGAGGCCACCTAATCACGTCCGTGGTCCCGCTCCACCTTGCGGGAGCACCTGTGATCACCACGGGCTGGAGCGGGAAGGACTCAGAGGACATTTTGCAGATGGGAAGGCTGAGGCCCAGAGGGTCCTGGCTCGCCCCTGGTGGGGGTGGGGTCCACTGGCCTCTGCCGCCCTCGGGCTCCTCCAGGTCCTGACGGAATGCTGATGCTGTGTTCCACCCTGCGGGCAGCGGATTCGCTGCCACTGGAGAGCCTCTCCGGTGGTTTCTCCCTGCTGAGCCCCTGGGTGGGGTGGGGAGGCCTAGTTAGCGCTTGTCGGGGCTTTGAAGTCCCTGAGATGAAAGCCTGTGTGTGGGAGGTCCCAGCCCGCTCCTCTGCGCTCCTCTGAGCCTGGCGCACCACCGGGCCTGTCCGCGAGGCCGCTCTGATTTGACGCACCCAGAAAGTGTGCATCTCTCTGGGGCCCATGGCTGCTGGGGCGCCTCCGGGTGCCAGAGCTGCGGTGCCCTGAGCAGCTGCAAGAACACAGGGCCTGGGTGCGCCGTCTGTGAAGTGGGGAAATGATAGGAGCTGCCACATACCTCCGCCTCCCTCCTGGCCTTTACCTACACAGAGGACTCGGACCGGGGTCTGCCCCGTCGCGGGTACCCCGGCAGCATGAGCCTCGTCATTTGTACCGTTATTCCCACGCCTCTCTCTCAGCCCCTGGAGCACATGGGCAAAGGGGCTGGTGGCCCGTGGTGACCAGGCATCCCGGGGGGACAGGCATCCGTGAGCCTCCCGGCCCGGCCTGAGCCCTACCATGGGGGCCGCCTCGGAGGGCAGCTCCCGGCGCCCTTGCCTGGCCCCACTGGCCAGGTGGGAGCCTGAGCCATTATGGTCACCATGGGGGTGGAGGCGGGCAGCCCCGCTGTGGTCTCGGTGCCCTAGGTGGGGCAGCAGGCCGGGCAGTGTGGGTTCCTGACCGCCCCCCTCTGGGTTCTTGTCTTGCAGATTTCTCCACCCAGGTGAACTCCTCTTCCCTCAACTCTCCCACGGGGCGCGGTTCCATGGCCGCCCCCTCGCTGCACCCCTCGCTGGGGCCCGGTATCGGCTCCTCGCTCAGCTCCCCGGGACAGCTGCACTCACCCATCAGCACCCTGAGCTCCCCCATCAACGGCATGGGCCCGCCCTTCTCGGTCATCAGCTCCCCCATGGGCCCCCACTCCATGTCAGTGCCCACCACGCCCACCCTGGGCTTCGGCACTGGCAGCCCCCAGGTAAGTGCCGAGGCAGCCGCCTCCCGGTGCCGGGCTCTCCACCCTTCATCTCTGCGAAGCAGAGCCACAGAGCGGTGGCTTTAGCCTGCGTTTGAGCCCAGGTCTGGCCGAGTCCCCAGCCCTCGACTCTCCGAGGTCATCAGCTAGGCTCCCTGCTGCTGGTCGTCTGCCCCAATGTGGCCCCTCCCACGGGGGGCTCCCTTGCTCTCCTGACTCGGAGCTCCCTGTCCCTTCTAGGCCCTTCCCTCCTGGCCTTGGCTCATGCCCACGCCGGGTGGTTCCGGCGCCCCTGGACTCAGAGCCCAGGGGCTGTCCAGGCTCTGTGCAGATGGGCCCTCCTCAGGCCAGGCCCCGGGCCCCACGGTGACCTCCACTCCTCTGTCGGGCTTGGGGGGAATTTCCACAGTCAGGTATTTGGAACAGTCTGGCTTTCAGGGTTGTCTGTGAATCAGGAAGCCAGCGGTACCTGGGGGGGCCTGGCTTAGCCCAGTTCTTGACGTGGGGACCGTGGAGGCCCCGTCCACCCTCCCCTGCGCCTCTCTCGTGCAAACCCCTGCAGAGTTGTCCCGAGCTCTTCTGGGGCTCCCTGGGTGTGGCAGCGCCCCGGGGCCCAGCGGGTCCTCCCTCTCCCTGGGCCTTGAGCCGTCCTTCCTGAAGTAGGTCTGAGTCCAAGTCTGGGTTCAGCCATTCTCCCCCACAAGATGCAGGCCCTGTGGCGGAGGGCTTTGGGGCGCGTCTCCATGGAGCCTCAGGACAGCCTCCTGGGGAGAGGCGGGAAGCGCAGGCTTCGCTGCCCAGAGCCACGTGAGCCACGGTGTCTGCTGCGTCCCGGAGGCCTGGGCGCCCCCTTTGCTCCTGGCCGGGAGCACCCGGCTGGGGCCGGCCCCCTGCCCTTCTGGCGGCACCTCCAGAGCTGGCCCCGGGGGAGAATCTTGCTGGCTTCTCCAGAGCGACCTGTCAGCTCTTTGTGTTTGTGGCACGGGGGCCGAAGGGCCGGAGCCTGGCACCGGTGCAGAGCTTCCATGCCCCTCTCCTGCGTCCTGGTCCCCAGAGCAGGCGGGAGGCCTGCGGTACCGGCGTGAGGAGCCCCGGCTGCCTCGCTCGGCCTGGCCAGGTTATTTTTAGCACAGCCACCCCACCCCCATTCTTGCTGGATGCACAGCGCCACGCAGTGAGCGGGGGAGGGGGTGATGAAGACTGAGCCCCTCTGGGGACCGTGACAGAGGCAGGGACCTGCTGGTCCTCAGCCCCATGAGGCTCCTTGCTGGTCTCAGGCCTAGTGCCTGCCCTGGACACCCTGCGGGCTCGAATACAGCGGGAGCCTGGGTGTGGCAGCGATGCCCCAGACCTTGGGCTCACCTGCCACTTGGCTCTGTTTGCCTGTCTGGAACGGGGGCAGGGCGGTCCTGGGGAGTGAGGGGTTTTGGGGACCACGTCCCATTCTGTTATTCCCTGCACCTAGCCTGGCACTTGGTGGGTGCTGGTTGGAACCAGGTTGTGCGTGAGTCGGGGGCCCCAGGCCCCTTGAGGCGGATGAGGGGATCAGGGCAAGAGGCGGGCCTGGGAGGGGGTGCGGAGAGCAAGCCCGGGGTGCCCTAGATGGTCACTACTGCCCTGTGGTCACCCGCCCCACCTGGCCCTGCGTCCACTGGTCAGGCAGGCCGCAGTGAGTTTTGCCACAGTCCCAGCCACGTACTCCGCCTCTCCTGTGGCTGCCCGCCCCAGCCAGGCCTCAGTCTCCACGTAGAGCCTTCCTGAAGCGAGTGCAGCTTCTGGGCTTGGGCAGCTCGTCCTGGAAACCTGGGGTTCCCCATATTCATGGGGAGTGTGGGTGGAGTTCAAAGGGGGGCTTGCCCCACCCTCTGCCCCAAAACCACAACCGCGAAGTCATGGTTGGTTGGCGGAACCAGCGAGGTTCTCTGATTCCTGCTGCCGGAGAAGGGCTGGCGCCCTGCCGAGTGCTGCCTGATTGCATCCACGCAGCCCGGGAGGCCCGCCAGCGCCCCGGGTCCGCCCTGCCCGGCCTCCCTGCCCAGAAACGGGTGCCTGGGGGCGCAGATCCCAGGTGCCGGCACCCGAGCTGCCCTGCATCTCCTCCCTGCTGTGGGGCGCGGCCAGCACAGGGCCCAGGAACACGCCCCGGAGCCCGCTGTGGGCCCCGTGCATCGAGCCCTCGCCAGCCCAGCAGCCCTTCCCTGGTGCAGGGTCTGCCCAGGCCAGCGGGGCGGCCGGCACTGCCCGCTCCTGGTTGGCACTCCTGCAGCCATGAGGCCTCCAGCGATGAGGCGTCCCCGGGAAGCTGAGTGCACTTTGCAGGGTCCTGTGAGGCCGGCGAGGCCCAGGGCCTGGTTCCGTGTGCAGCAGGCCTGAGCCTGCACCCCTGGTTCTGGCCGTGGGTGGTGGGGGAGCCTGCTGTTGGCTCAGGAGGAAGGGCGTGGCAGGTGCAGAGGAGAGGAGCCCTGAGTGGCGGCAGGAGCCCCTGGCGGGGCCCTGATGAGCCCGATGGTTATTTCCGCGAGTCCCCCGGGCTCCAGCGGGAACCGAGAAAAATGCCAAGGACGTGAAAGGGGAAACGGGCCGGGCCCGCCCTGGCTGCACCACGTGGCCTCCAGGCACCAGCCAGGGCTGTTGGCGCCTTGCGTCTCCCCAGAGGTGGGTGGGGTGTGGGGGTGAGCGGCCCCTCACGGGGGGGGGGGACAGCCCAAGGCGCATCAGCTTGGAGCTGGGAGGGTGGAGAGTGACCTCTGACCCTGCACAGTCTTGCCCTGGGGGCCACATGGGGACCGTTTACTAGTTGAGGCAAAGAAGTGTTGTGGGTGGCCCCAGCTGAGTGGGGGCTGCCTTCGTCTCCCCACGTGTGCCGGTTCTCCTAGGGCTCCCAGAGGCCTCTGGGCTGTTTGCTGTGTCGGCGGGAAGCCTGAGCCCGGGAGGGCAGGGGCGCCCCTGCCACGTAGCACCGCCCATCCGTCTTGCCTGGAGCTCCTTCCCACGTGGGGCCCTGGCCATCCTTTCTCACTGCGGCAGCCCTGCCTCAGTATACCTAGGGCGGGCACCAGCTGTCTGACCTGCACGTGCATGGGACACAGGGCCGGTGGCCTGCCACCTATCCGGCACGGCATGGGCAAGCTTGGAAGAGGAGATGCCGGACTCCTCTCCCCGGTGGCCTCCCACAGGTCCAGCCACGTGGGGTCCTGGCTCCCCAGCGTGGGGCAGGCTGCTGCAGGCCGGGGCTCCCACTCCCCTGTCCTCAGCGGCCCCCACAGCCGGGCCCCCCTGCACCTGTCCCGTGCTGAACAGCTCAGCGGCCCCCTGGGACCCAGCTGGCCACATCTCCTGGAGGCCGAGCACTAGCGGGTTTGTTATCTCAGTTACCCTGACAGCAGCCCTCAGCCTGGCCTGCGACGAACCTCAGGCTCAGAGGGATTGAATCACTTCCCCAGAGTCACACAGCGGTTGGAGGAGGGCATGACCCAGGGGCCCGGCCACAAGCCGTGCTGTCCCCCCACCCGGCAGCCCCGTCCCCACCCAGCTCTGCAGGGCTGCACAGGGCTGTTTCCTGTGTCTCTGGGCACCTGGCTGGGTGCTTACATACACTGGGAACAGTGTCTGGGGGGGTGGGGTCCCCGAGCGGCTCTGGGCAAGCCTGTCCCCTCTCCAGCATGTGGGCATCACCTTCGGGCCCACTGCCTGCTACCCAGAGGGCTGCCCTGCCAGGCCTGTGACCTCCTGAGCCTCCAGGTCCGTGCTGGGAAAGGAGAGGGCTTTCCAGGCATCGAGAGGCGAGCACCCGTGCCACGCCCGGGCACAGGAGTGTGCTCTCTGCATGCGCTCCCGGTGCCTGGGGACACGGGGTGCACGGGGCACCCTCACGCTGCCGGACATGCGGCTCTGTTTGGCGGTGCCCTCTCACTGCCAGCCCCCAGTGACCTCCCGGCAGCCCACCTGAGTCTCTGTGGGGGTTAGTGTGCTCACGGAGCCACATGGCCCAGGGCAAGGGGAGGGACCCGGAGCCACAGGGCTGTAAGGACCCTCCCAGCCCCCCAGGCCAACGTGGAAGCAGGCATTGGGTGCTTTCTGCGTGTGTGCTCTGAGCACCAAGTCCTTCTGCCCCGTGAGAAAGGGGTGGAGGTCGGGGGCCGTGGGGAAGGAAGGTGGTGAGCTTCCCGCTGGCCGGAGGGGCCCGGGGCTACCCAGGGGCAGCAGGGCGCCTGTGGGAGACTTGCGCACCACCCGGTTTTCGCCTTTGTCAGGGGTTTGCAGAAGTGCGGGGGGCGGGGGGGAGGGCGGGGCGTGGGCCGCAGGGCCAGGGTCCTGGCGCCTGTGGACACCAGCCGGCCTGCGGGGTGCAGCGGGAAGCCCCTCTGGCCCGGTGCTGCCCGGAGAGCTGGGGTGGACGCGGCGGAACCAAAACTGCTGTGTCATTGCAGCCGCAGCTGTTGCCAGGGTGACGGCGAAGTTCCCACGCTTCCTCCTGGGCGGTGCCAGGCTGTCAGTCTCCAGGGCGGGGCGGGGCGCGGGCTATCCTGCTGTCCTTGGGTCATGTGATCTGCGCCCCCCCCCCCCCCGTGGTGTGCTGCTGAGGAGGACCCCAGCTCCCTTTCCTTGCTGTGACCAGGCCTCGGTGCCCAGCTGCGGGTTGGGGTCCCAGAGCCCCTGCCCCTGGGGGGGGGGGGGCTGCGAGCTCACATTGCCCTGTCCAGGGCTCGCTCAGTGATGGGAGGTGGTTCTTCTTCAGGTGGGTGAGAGTCGGGGGTGGAAGCAGGGTCCTGGGGCTCTGGGAAGGTGAGGCCCGAGGGCAGGGCCGTGCTCAGCGGGGCCGCGAGGCCTGTGGCAGGCTGGTCTCCTCTCTGAGCCTTGGTTTCCCTCTCTGTATGGTGGAGAGTGCACGGGCGCCTTCCTCACTGTAGGGCTGGAGGAGGGAGGTTGGCACACGCCCCCCTGGACACCCTGCCTTCCCTCCTCAGCTCAGCTCGCCCATGAACCCCGTCAGCAGCAGCGAGGACATCAAGCCCCCACTGGGCCTCAACGGTGTCCTCAAAGTCCCGGCCCACCCCTCAGGGAACGTGGCCTCCTTCACCAAGCACATCTGTGCCATCTGTGGGGACCGCTCGTCAGGTGGGTCGTCGCGGGTGCAGCGGGACCGCAAGGCACCCACGGGGGGTGCAGGGGTGTAGGGCAGCGGGACCGCAGAGTCCCCATGGGGGTGCAGGGGTGTGGGGAGGCAGGCCGCTGGCTGGGCCGGGGAGCGGGGGTGCGTGGAGCTCCGCAGGCCTTTCGTGCTGGACCTTCGGGTGTTTTCGCAGCAGAGAGACCATGGAGGGGAGGCGGCAGCGCGGACGGCTGGCAAGGTCTGGAGGCCCCACAGCGGGGGTGCCCGGGCCCCCGGCCGCCGGGACCCCCAGTGAGGCCGCAGGCGCCCCGGCCCAGGCAGCGCGCTCACGGCCCCCTCCCTGCAGGCAAGCACTACGGGGTGTACAGCTGCGAGGGCTGCAAGGGCTTCTTCAAGCGGACGGTGCGCAAGGACCTGACCTACACCTGCCGAGACAACAAGGACTGTCTGATCGACAAGCGACAGCGCAACCGCTGCCAGTACTGCCGCTACCAGAAGTGCCTGGCCATGGGCATGAAGCGGGAAGGTAGGCTCCCGCCTCCTGCCCGCGGCCACGCCGGAGGGCCTACCTTCCCGCCAGGGCAGGGACAGCGCTGACGAGGGGCGGAGCGGAGCAGGGGTGCCGCCCTGTGCCCTGCCGCCTCCCTCCTGCAGGCCGTGGAGGCGCCTGATTACACCCAGGTCCTCAGAGCAGCGGGCGTCATTGAAATTGTGGTTATTCAGCCAGACCTGGGTCTGAGCCCTTGGCCCCAACTTGCAGTGCGACCCTGCTCAGCCCCTAGCTGTCCGTGGGCCTTCGTTTCCCCACCTGCATGCTGGGTGAATTGCTTGCTTATAGTCTGCCTCTCCTACCCAGGGCCTCGTGGGGCTGGGGAGGTGCTGCCTGGGGTCAGGGCCTGTGTCTGACCTCCTGATGGGGCCCCCGGTGGTGCCGCACCTCCTCCGACTGTCCCCTGCGGTGTCTGTGGCTCTCACCTCGTTTCCTGTCTCACCCCACGTGTCCTTGTTAAGCAACTGAGACCCCAGCTGGGCTTGCGGGACTTCTTCCTCAAGGCTGTGGGGCAGGCGGGACACGAGTGTCCTGCGTCAGGCACCGCTTCTGGCCAGGGGGCCTTGGGGCCCAGCGCGGAGCTGCAGGGACCCTGCGGGGCGTGTGCCCGCCAGCTCTTCCTGATCAGAATGCACATCTCATAGAGTGCTAGGCCCATGCACCCTGCTTTGGACGGGAGGAGGAGCTGAGGCCCAGAGGGTCCGGGGCTTGTCCGAGGTCACATGCCAGGCAGGACCCAGTCCTTTGGGCCCTGGTGCTGTCCTCCTTCCTTTACGCACCCTCCAGGGGGCCAGAGGAGGCGTGCAGCCCGGCCCCGGTTCCTCTGGGTGCCCTGTGTAGTCAGGGAGGGCTGGCCACCGGTGGCCTGTGCACCGTTGTTCCCGGGATGGGGCAGGTGCATGGTGGGCGGTGGGTCAGTGTGTGCCCGGACGTGGGGCACTGGCCAGGGGGCTGGGTGCCAGTGTGCGGGGGGAGCCTCAGGCTCCCCCCAGGACACCCTAGCACAGAGCAAGCGGGTCAGTGCCTGAGATCACTCCCTCAGCCAGCTCAACACTCCTGGTGCCAGGTGCCAGGCGGGGCCTGCATCACTGCATGGGGTCGTCACATCACCAGGCAGGGCCTCCAGGCATGCTCAGTGCTGGCAGGGGAGTCCCCTCAGAGGAGGCAGCTGACCCAGCTGCAGGCTGACGCCCTAAGACTGGGAGGGCATCAGGCAGACCGTGTGCCCGCGAAGGTCTGCGGGGTCCCAGGGCTGCGGAGACCTGGTCTGATCCCTCTCGTGCTGCCCACCGTGACTGGGTCTTGTGAGTGGCTGTTAGAAATGCCTGTGTCGCACCGGGCCTCACTGGGTACCAGCCGGCCCTCCACACTCCCTCTCGCTCCCTGGCCGGTGGCGCGGGGCGTTGGCCCTGACTTCACGCACAGGGAGCCGGCTGCAGGGGTGGGCACGTGGGGGCCTCCTGGCTGCCACAGGCCGCATCCCAGCCACAGCCGTGGGCTGGTCCAGAGCTGTGCCAGCCCGGCGATCTCTCCTGCCTCGCTCTCTCATCTCAGGGATGAATCTGGTGCTTCGGGCCTGAGGGAGCGCACTTCCCTCAAGACGTGATTTATGGGCCGTTAGATAAATACCTGATCCCGTCAGGGCCCACCTCCCCTTTGCCTCGTACTGGATTTATGAGTCATGGACGTACGGTAAAAACCCTCCTGTGGAGCTCTCGTACCTCCAACACGACCACGCGAAGCTGGGCCCTTCCCCGTGCCTGCCCGTGTGGCTCCGCCACGGGGCCCAGCCTCACCCTTGGGAGGAGTGAGCCGTGGCCGCAGGGTGGCTTTAGTGCCAGCCCCACGGGGAGCTCCACGGTCTCCCAGGCCAAGGGCCCTGGGACTGGGTGCTGGGTACTGCCCCCAGCCCCAGGAACTGGTCCTGAAACAGCTCTTTTTCCCGTCTGTGGCCTTGGGGACCAGGAGGGCTCCCTGGCCGCAGCAGGAGCGTGACTCAGCCCAGAGGGCCGGGGGCCGGGAGCACAGAGGATGTGAGGTGCTGGCTTCCAGGCCAGCCTGGGCTGCGGGGCCCCTCGGGGGGGGGGGGGTCTTGATCACACCTCTGTTACGGCTGAGAACACAGGCGCGGGCCCAGTATGGGGTGGGGGGCACGCACTGATGGGGACCCCCCCACTGCCCTGCCCCATGCGGGCTGACGAGGGACACCGCAGACAGATAGCATCTCTGTTGGGCGATGCTGGGGCCTGCGCACACCTGGCACCTGGGACTCACTCTTCTCCCTTTCAGGGGAGGTGCCGGCCGCCAGGCAGGCTGGGCCCAGGCCTGTCTGCTGGAGTGCGCGGGGGCAGGGTGTGGGGCGCCCACCGGGGGTGATGCTGGCCCAGGCCGGAGGGGTCGCGCCGCCTGCCTCTCTGCCTCTTTCTTTCTCCTCCAGGAAGGCCTCTCCCTGCTTCCTTCCTTCCTCCCCGTGCTTTCCGTGTTCCATCTCCCAACCAAAGGACTGGGGCGCCGAGAGGGCCGTGCCTCGTGTGCGTGTGTGTGTGCTCATGTGGGTGTACACGCACAGCTGCCTGTGGCCCACACGCTACTGCTGTGGAGAAGGCCCAGCCGGCTTCTGGGGCTGCCCTGTCTGCACTGGACAGCCTCCACGTGTTCCACGCGTGCATCGCGCAGGCTGTGGGCTCGTCGGGAGGAACGTGGCAGGTGGCAGCCCTGTGCCTGCTGGTGGTGGTGGTGGAGAGCGGTGGCCATGATGCATGTGCATGTGTGTGCGTGTGTGCATGTGAGTGTGCATGTGCACGTGTGGTTGTGCATGTGCGTGTGTGCATGTGTGGGTGTGCGTGCCTGTGCGTAGTTGCTCTCGAGTATAGACTCCCCTTCCGTCCCGGATTGAGTTCCGAAGGAAGCGGGGATGTGTCCTCTGAGCTAAAGGCCCCTCCGGCGGGACACCCCCTCTCGGGGTGTCAGTGGCCCCGCCTGAAGCAGGGACGTTGGGCCAGGGCCTTCTGGTGACAGTCAGGCCTGCCTGTCTCTGTGCGGAAAACAGGAGGCAGCGGGCTGGGCGCTGCTCCCGTAGCCACCTCCGCCCCTGGCTTCCCGCCCAGCCCCCATGGTCTGGAGGGGCCGCAGTGGCCATGGCGGTGGGTCAGGGTGTGTCAGCATCTCCCCTGATGCTGGGGTCCCTGCTCTTGCTGGGTGCGGACCCCCACCCCCCGCCCAGGCGTGTGTCTGGCTGCTTCACGAAGCCGGCCACGCCTCCCTGGTGTTTCTGGGGGTGCTCAGGCCCAGAGCAGGGAGGGGGGGTGGCGGGGAGTGAGGCCCTGTGCTCGCAGACGCCTCCCGCCTGAGGCTTCCCGGCGCCGGCGGAACGTAAGTCAAACATGACTACATCTAAAAGGTGATTGAGCTGGCAAAACATAAATCCCCGGGCTCTCCTGCCCCCTCCGCCGTCTATAAATAAACCCATAATATTTATAATGACGCTGCTCAGAGCTGCTGGCCCTCCACGGCTTCAAAGTGCTCCTCGAGGCATTGGCTAATTAATTGGCGCCGCCCCCGCGGAGGAGGCAGGTGCTGGGGACCCCCACCCGCCCCAGGCACTGCCCCCACACTCGGGCCACCCCGTCCAACCCGCCCTGCCCGTGCAGCGGGAGGAAGTCCGTGACCGGGCAGCGTGTGGGGAGCGTGGGAGCGGGAGGCGAGGGGACGGAGGTGGGAGCGCCTTGCGGGGCTGGTGCTGTGGTCCTCCCTCCAGGGCCGAGGCAGCGGGACCGCGCAGCTGGCAGGGGCAATGCAGTGCGAGGCGCCCAGAGCCGCCGCTGTCCTGGGAGCTCAGCTGTGGCGCCCGCCGCGCTGCTCCGGACCCGCTCCCTGGCTGGAAGAACGAGTTGAGCCAGAGCGCATGCCTCTCAGCTGGGTGCTGGCCCGGACAGTTTAGGCTTCTAAGCGGCGCATAGCCCTGGGGGGCCACCGCCCCGCTCAGTGTCGCGGGCACACGGGCCTGCCTCGACCCTGTGTCCGTCGCCCCGGCTCCTGGCCGCATCAGTCCATGCGGAGCTGCTTTGTGCACGGTGGCTGAAGGGTGACTGCGAGAGGGTGCCCTGCGCCAGCCCAGCACCCAGCACATGTCGGGGGCTGGAAGCCTGGCTGGAGGGGCCCCCACAGCTGTGCCGCCCCCTCCCACCTGCCACCTGCCTGCCAGCTGGAGCCCCCCTCCTGCGGCCCCCGCCCGCTGTCAGACCTTCGAGAAGAGCTAGCCTTGCAGAAACTCTGATTTGGGCTTCCTGCCTGGCTCCTCGGCCCAGCGGGGGTGATTTGCAGGTGCTGAGCCGGCCCCTGTCCGTGAGTCTCACTGGCTCTGGGAGTCGAGTCCCTCGCTGGAGTCCACGCTCTGGGTCTAAATCGCTGCCTGCCCCCAGGGAGCCCCGCGGGTGGTAGGGAGGTGTTCCTGCGGACGGCCTGGGGGCTGTGGGCTGCGCTCTGGGAGCCAGGCAGGCTGTGGGGCCTTTGGGGCCAGCACCATCAGGGAGCCCTCACACCCCTCGGGCTGGAGCGCGGAGAGGAACGAGGGGTCCCAGGAGAGGGCTGCCCTCCGGGAGCCACGGCCTTGGGGGTAAGTGGCAGGTGAGGGCAGAGGCTGGGCGAGGAGGCGCCAGAGCCAGGACAGCCCATCCCCCACTCCTCCTCCCGCCTGTCCCTTGCATTTGGCAAACCCATCAGGAAACCCAAGGGAATTGGGGCTCCTGGGTGGCTTAGTCGGTTAAGCGTCCGACTTTCGCTCAGGTCATGATCTCGCGGTTCGGGGGTTCGAGCCCCGCGTCGGGCTCTGTGCTGACTGCCAGCTCGGAGCCTGGAGCCTGTTTCAGAGTCTGTGACTCCCTCTCTCTCTGACCCTGCCCTGCTCACGCTGTCTCTCTCTCTCTCCTAGAAATAAAATAAAAATATTAAGAAAAAAAAAAAGGAAACCCAAGGGGAGAGGACTTGGTAAGGCAGGCCGAGTTCGGGCCCTCAGAGCCGGGGCAGGGGTGGGTCTGGAGGTTCAAGGAGGTGGTCCTGTGACAGCTGGGTCTCTGAGACCCAGGAGCGTGCTGTGCCCTGTAGAGATGTCCTGGAGGGGAGAATGAGCCCGTCTGAGGCCCAGGGGGCTGTAGACTCAGGAAGCCCCGGGACAGGCTGCACCTTTCGCTCTCCAGAAGGCCCTGTCCCAGGACATTGGACCAGGAAAGAGGGTGCGGAGCACACAGTGCCCTGCGGGTGTGCGGGCGTGAGGGCAGGATGCCAGGCTGAGGCTCTGCAGGGTGGGGGCTCTGAGCTGGCTTTGGGGATGTGAAGCCGGGACGGGTCAGGGCTGGGGAGTGGGAGACCCGGCTGGCACAGGAAAGGCCTGGTGGAGGAGGAGGGGCCCCAGCATGTGGCCGGCATCCTCAGCAGGGCCGTGAGGTCCCCGGGCTGAGCCCCCGCCTCCAGGCTGGCCAGAAGTTGGGCAGCGGGCCGGGGGCCGGCAGCGGTTGGAGTCAGCTGACCTCAGCTGCCCCTGTGCAGGAGTGTGACCCGGGGGCTGTAGGTGTGGCTCGACGTGACTCTATTTTATGCCCATGCTCTACCCGCAGGCCCCCAGGAGCCGGCCGTTTGCCAGCTCGTGGTGCGATCCCGGGGCAGGACGGTGGGGGCCTGGCCCTGAGGAGGCCATGGCCACACCAGGGGCTGGTGGAGGGGGCCCACCGGAGGGCGGGCTTGGGGGAGGCTGCTGTGACGGCATCTGGGCGTCCCCGACACTCCTAGCTGGCTCAGGCCGTGGCAGTGCTGTGTAGACAGGCTGTGGCTGTGACCTCTCCCCATGGCTGACTCGTTCTCCCCAGTCCAGGGCCCTTGGTTCTCCTACCAGCGAGGAGGGGGTGCAGGTGGGCATCACCCCGGCGACTGTGGCAGCCCCGGGGGCTCTGGGTGGGTCCACAGCCTGACCCCTGGGTCCCGGCCCCTCTTAGGGACAACAGCTTGAGCTTCTGGGACTCAAGTCTGAGGTCGTAAACGCCCATCCACAGGGTGCCCTGGTGGCCTCCCTTCTGTCCACACGGGTCTCTTTGGGGCCGTGTGCAAGTGAACATCCCCCTCTGCGTCCTTCTGTCGGCTTCCTGGGCTCCCGGGGACTGGCCACGCCCTGTCCAGCCATCTGCTCGGCCCTCCACCCCAGGGCTGCCCCCTACCCCGCCGGGCTGCCCCAGGCCATCCCGGCTGATGCTCAGGGTTGGCATCCAGCTCCCGGTCTCCCCTGGGCCCCCCTTCTCTTTCTGCATCTGGAAGGGGCTTTCAGAGATCTGTGCCCTGTCCCGTCCCTGTCCTGGGGCGCGTCAGGAACGTGCCCCGGCTCCCAGGTGTACCCCTGCACCGGCTCTCCAGTTGCTGTGAGAGGCCCATTCGTCAGGAGCGTCTCTGCTTAGGCTCTGGGCCTTTGCACATTCTGTCTCCTATGCCTGAACTATGGCCCTCGTCCTTCCTGCCTCTTTACTTTTCTTGGCCACTTCTTCCAGGAAGCTTTCCTAGCTTTGTCTGAGTCCATAGTCCATCGAAACCCTTCTCACTGCATGTTAGGCTTCCTGCCGAGCCATCTGTCAGCTCCATGAGAGCTGGGCCCCACATGCCCCAGCCTGTGCATGCCCGGCCCCGGCCAGGTCCCGGTGTGGACGTCAGCTGAATGGTGCAGTGAGAGGCCGGTGGGTGTGCTGTGCGTGTGGGTGTGTAGCTGCTGAGAAGCAGAGAGCGGGCCGTACTCTGGCCTCACTGGCCCTGATGGACGCGCTGGCTCCGGGCTGACACGGCTTGGCCTCTGGTGGAGGGTGGTGCCCAGGGAGCCGAGGGCTGACCCCCTGCCCCCCACTCTGCAGCTGTGCAGGAGGAGCGGCAGCGGGGCAAGGACCGGAATGAAAACGAGGTGGAGTCCACCAGCAGCGCCAATGAGGACATGCCAGTGGAGAAGATTCTGGAGGCGGAGCTGGCCGTTGAGCCCAAGACCGAGACGTACGTGGATGCGAACATGGGGCTGAACCCCAACTCGGTGAGCGTCTCCTCGTGGGCAGGGGGCTGGCACTGCCTGGGGACTGTTGACCCCTGGCGAGTGCTGCTGGGCGCAAGGCCCCGTCTGTCGTGGGCCGTGTGACCCCGGGAGCCCGCAGGTGCTGTCCTGCTCCACGCGCCGCGGCCAGTGCTCGGCCGGGTGTCGGGGGTCCTGTATCTGCCCCAGGAGTGCAGGCCACCTTGCTGTTTCACCTGTGCCCCCACGTGGGGTCAGGGCTGGGGTCAGAGCCCTGCGGCCAGTCCCAAGGTCGCTCTTTCCCTCTGTTCTCTGGCTCACAGTGGCTCCCACTGTGCTGGACACACCGTCCTCACCCACCTGTGCAACCCCAGGACCCTTGCACATGTGGCTGCCTTTGCTTCCTCCTCACGCTGCTGTCCTGGCTAAGGTGTCTCTTTTCCAGGGATTCTTTTCCCCTGTGGCCCTTCCTTCATGGCCCCTGGCACAGGGCAGTCAGCCGTGGGGTGTGTGGTGGATTAAATCTCCCTCCCTGCCATGAGGCCTGGGGGTGGCATCTGAGCTGTTCCTCCCCGCCCAGCCCCGGCCAGCGACCCCGCCTGCCTGTGGGTGCTCATGCGCGGCCCTTACCCCCGGCTCAGTGTCCCGTGTACTCACGAGGCTCCGCACGGTGAGGCCGCTGCGGCTGGGCGCTGGGCCATCCCGGTTTCCCAGGGCCGCAGCGCCTGCCAGACCTCCGCTCCGGCACCTGGCCAGGCAGCAGGGGCACACGGGGCCCGGAGGCAGGTGCCCGCTCACTGCTTGTGGACTGAGCCCACCCCTCCTGTCCCGGGGAGGCCCGCCTCCAGGGTGTCACGGTTGAACAGAAGCCCCAGAACCATAGGGTTTGGCCACCTTTTCTTCTGTCGAGTAAGGACGTTATTAGGAAAACTCGCTGCCACGTGCTTCCCCTCGGAACTGGCGGGAGGCGTCGGCCACGCAGACGGCCGGCCGAGCGGGGGGTGCGAGCCTGCCTTCCCGTGTCTGACCTGGCCACTGCCTCCTCTGCGTCGGTCTGGGACCCCTCCGGGACGGCTCACTCACAAGTTGTAGCTGGTCCCCCGCGAGCCCTGGGGTGGGGGGCGCATGCTGTTATCTCACGCGGGGCCTGTGTGGCCGGCTGCAGGGGCCACTGCCCAGGAGGGGTTCAGGGGCTGCTCTGGGCCCCTCATGGGCTCCTAGGGAGCTGGCAGCCAGCGGCCAGGGAGGCTGGTTCCCTGGGCTTCACTGGGGAGCTGTGGGGCTCCCCCACGCCCCCTCTCTCCACACGGCCTCCGGGCCCCTGTCCACCTGACTGGGCCTGAGGCACAGAGCCGGGCAGGAGTGGCCTCTGACACGGCCAGCTATCGGGTGCGTCACCCTCATGAGCTGGGGACCCCGTGCAGGCCAGCCTCTGTGCCGGTGCCGATGATGGGGGTGCTGTGTGGGGACACGTGTGCCCCGAGCAGAGCCTGGCCCCGGGCTTCTGGTTGGCACAGAATCTGCTGCAGCGAACGCAGGAGGGAACACCCTACCCCCACAGACCAGCCCCGGCAGCAGAGGGGTTTTGGCGTGAGGGCAAGTGTAGGGTGTTCTGGGGGCCGGTGCCCTGGGCTGGGGATCCCTGTGGGCCCCAGAAGCCCTGGCTGACCCCCGTTCCTGCGGCCCCACGTTCCCGTCTGCTTACCCCAGCCCCTTCCAACCCGGTGGCCTCTGGCCATTTGTCACCTGCCTTCCCGTGCCAGCCCTGAGCAGGCCCCGCCCGTGGAGCCTGGGGTGTGGAGACCGCACCTCCGTTAGGGCCGGTGGCTGCTGTCTGGGGACGCTCCTCAGGGGACCCTTTGCCCCTCGCTGGCCCTGCTGCTTCCTGCGGCGACAGGTTTCTGCACCGTGTGGGTGTCGGCCCTCCCCTCGCTCTGGACCCCAGGGTCTGCCCTCCAGGGGCTGGGGGGACCTGTGTTTCCTCATCTGTGAGAAGAGACCAGAGTACTCATCTGGCTAGAGCCTTCCGGAAGGGTCTCTGATGCCCTCATCTGTGTACCGTCTCCACGCCCGGGAGGAAGAATGGCACGGAGGGCCCAGCAGTGTCCGGCCCCCAGAGCCCCCAGCCCGAGTCCATGCCTGCGTTTCTTTCCCCGACCATGCTCTGGGTCCCTTGTCCCCCATTGAGCACTTAAAATAGAAGTGTTTTTAGCATCTTCCGGTCCTGGAGGTCCGCGGTCCCAAATCAGTGTCAGCCGACTGGAGTCGTGCGGTGGGCAGGGCCGGGCCCTGCTGGGGAGGACGCCCCCCTCGCCCTTCCCGGTCCTGGCGCCGCCCCTGTGGCCCGGGTCCCCCCTGGGTGTCCAGCCCCCACAGCCTGGTTCCTCCCCCCCCCCCCCCGCACTGGCGTCTCTCTTGCTCTCTCCTGTCTCCGACCCTCGCCTCATCCAGCAGGGACCCTGTGATGACACTGGGCCCACCCGTTGTCCAGAATCGCCTCCCACCTCCAAACCCCTAACTCTGGCGTGCCTGCAAAGAGGGGCACAAAGTGGCCTGTTCACACACTGGTCAGCCCGGGGCAGGTGCAGCACGGGGGTGGGGGGACCTGGTCTGGGCCTCGTTCCCAGCAGGGCGCTCACTGTGTGCCCCTCCCCCCACCCAGCCCAACGACCCCGTCACCAACATCTGCCAGGCAGCGGACAAGCAGCTCTTCACCCTGGTTGAGTGGGCCAAGCGCATCCCGCACTTCTCTGAGCTGCCCCTAGACGACCAGGTCATCCTGCTGAGGGCAGGTGAGTGGCCCGTCTGTGGGGGGGGTGTGGGCTGGGGAAGGCGTCAGAGGCGACAGGGCAGGGGCCTTGGGGCCCCGTGGGTGGGCCGGACCCTGGGAAGCCCGTCCCTCCTGCAGCGTGGGGCTCTGGCCCCAGCCCCGCCCTGTGTGGCCCCGCCCCGCCCCCCATAAGGAGGTGGGGGGTCTCTGAGTGGCCTTCTGAGAGGTGGAGGGCTGTCTGGGGATCTCTGGAGAAGGTGAGGGGAGTGCGGCCAGCATGCGCTGCCCCGCAGCGAGGCCTCAGCTCCTTCTCCGGGTGGGGGTTGCAGTGGCGGCAGGCAGGGGGAGCACTGGCACTGGGCTGTGGCTCGGGCACGCTTCCTGACACATGACGCACGTGCCAGTGGAAACCCGTTTGTGCTGTGAGACTAGGGTCCTCAGCGCAAGTTCCTGTATAGGGACAGCAGGGACGGGGGCGGGGGCAGGTGTGCTGGGCCTGCCTTCGGAGGGTGCTGGCCAGGAGCACCCCCACCGCCAGCCTCCTGCCTCGCGGGGCCACCTGCACGTGCTGGGCCCAAGGTGAGGGAGGCAGCAGGGAGAGCAGAGGGACTCCTGAGTGACCCCGCGGTGGTGGGGAGGACAATGCTCTGGGGCGGGCTCTGCCCCTGGGGCCTGGTGGGCCTGGTGCGCAGGGCGGGGCGCCTTCTGGAAGAGCTTCCACTCTAGCCAGGACACAAAACCCAACTCCCAGAGCCATCCGCAGAAGGTGACGGGCCAGGGGCCACAGAGGCCCGCGTGCTCAACGTGACACTGTGACGGGGTAACCCCTGCTGTGCCCTGGGCCTCAGTTTCCCCTTCTGTAAAACGGGGCTACTCCTGGTTTTGTAGGATTGTAGCCAGTATTGAATGGGATAGTCTGAGTGATCCCATCTGCCCCGGAGCCCGGAGCCTTCTGAGCCCTGGGGGGTGTGGCCGTGAATACCGCTGTCCTTGTGAAGGGGCTTGGGGCTTCCCAGTTCTCAAGAGTCCTCCAGAACCAAGCAGAGAAATGGTTTCTATTTCAGTTTTTCTCCCATACCTTCTCGTAACCGTGATGCTTGCTCCGGTCTGTCCGCACTGGGACCTCAGGTGGAGAGAGCGTCCGGTTTGCCTGAGGCTCTGACACACCTTATTTCAGTTTGATGATGCTCTGTTTGGGGCCCCGTGTGGCACACATTAATCCGAGAGTTTGCTGCTGGGACCAGGGTAGCGGAGGCTGCTCTGGGGCTGCCCCAGAGAGAGCCCCCCACATTCGTCATGGCTTGTGCACCCTGTACTTGTGGGAGGAGCCTTCCCCCAGCACATGAGTTTGGGACCACCTGGGTTAAACAGAGCCAAAGAGGGCACTGTGTGCAGGACCTCTCAGGGCCTTTATTGCAGTTTGCACCGTAGAAGAAAAGCATTTCCCAAACATAGGTGCTTGGGAACCTTGTTTCTGTGGCCTGCTCCCTTAGGGGTTCCCCAGCACCCACTTTGGGATGGTCCTGTGATGGCGCCCGCTGCCTTTGGATGGTAGCCCAGTCAGGGGAAGGGTGGCCCCGGGGCCTGGACACAGCCGCGTGACCCTGCACCCTCCTCCGTCCAGGCTGGAACGAGCTGCTCATCGCCTCCTTCTCCCACCGGTCCATCGCCGTGAAGGACGGGATCCTCCTGGCCACCGGGCTGCACGTCCACCGGAACAGCGCCCACAGCGCCGGGGTGGGCGCCATCTTTGACAGGTGGGGCCCCATCCACATTCACATCCCGCTGCTCGTGGGCTCCGTTCAGGCAGGTTTCAGATGGAAATGGAAGTGCAGGGACAGAGTTCACGCCTCCGGATGTCTGTCAGCTGGGGGCACCCAACAGCCGCGGCCTAAGGTCTTGATTTATTTCCTCCCGGCTCACTCTATTCTATTAACACATTTTGTAAACGTTTTATTTTTGAGAGAGAGAAGGAGTGAGCACGAATGGGGGAGGGGCAGAGAGAGAGAGAGGGAGACACAGAATCCGAAGCAGCTCCAGGCCCCGAGCTGTCAGCACAGAGCCCGACACGGGGCTCGAACCCACACACCACGAGATCATGCCCGGAGCCCTGTGCTGGGCGAGGGGCACTGCACTTTCTAAGCAGGAGGAGTTACCGTCTCCTGCAGCTGCTGCAGTTTTAATACATCGAAGCCCGAGTGCTCTGCTTCACCTCCCCGCACCCCTGTGCTCCTCAGCACACACGCAGGGGGGCAGCGCTGGGCCGGCGGGCGGGGGGCGGGGCAGCCCCGCGAGTCCTGCCTAGTTGCTCCGAACACACAGCCCCCTGGGCTCCGCCGGGTGCCTGGGTGCAGAGGAAGGGCTGGGAGAGATGTCGCAGGGTCCCTGGGGTGGGGATGCAGCCCCGGAGCAGTGAGGGAAGGTGGTGTCAGGGGTCCCAGGGAGCCCTGAGTACGAGAACCCTGGAGTCAAGGTGAGCCAGCCCCCCGCCGTCACCCAGGGGAGACTAAACGTGGGAACCACACTGCCCTCTAGGGCCGTTCTGGGAGAGCCCATAAGGATGCCCTCGGGCTTCCTAGGATGTGTCAAGTGTAAACGGGCTGTGGCCGCATACCTGGGCATTTGGATGTGTCTTTGCTTCAGGACTTCTTAGGGCCTTTAACAAGCTGGCGTGCAAGGTGCCAGCAAAGGCGGCTGTGGGGTGCAACACTTCTTGTCCACAGAGGCCTTCTTTAGACGGTCTCGCCTGCTGGGGTCTGCTCTGCTTTAGGAATGCAGCCCCACCACACACCCGGCTGCCGGTTCTGTGTTGCAGCGGTGAGGGGTGACGCTGACAGAGGCGTGGGGCTGCCCGGAGCGGGCCCGCAGCAGCGTCGGAGGCGGCAGCCCCTCCTCCTCGCCCTTCCAGTGAATGGATCGCGTGGCCCTGGCTTCAGGGCCCCTCTGGCCGCAGCACAGGCCATACCCGTCCCCTCCTGCTCTGTCCCCAAGGCTCCCTGGGATCCTTCCCCTCTCCAGCCCACAGACCCCTGGGGCTCCCGGGTCCTCAGGGTGACCATCCAGGCCCTTCCCAGGGCGCCGTCCCTGGTCCCCTGTGGCCCAGCCTCGCCAGCCACTCACCACTTCTTGGGCACAGCCGTCGAGTTTTGGGGGCCAGCAGGCAGGCTGGTGAGGTTGGGGAGCGCAGGCCGCGGGGTGCTGCGGACACGCCGGCATCTAGGACCCCGCTGCCCACAGGGCTGGGCCTGCTGAGCTTGGGTCGGGGCTGTGCTCCGCGCCCACGCCGTCTCCCGCGCGAGCCCTGGGCATTCCGGGGCGGTCCCCGTGAGGGCGCGGCCTGATTCGGCGCGCGGCGCTGCTTCCTCCGCAGGGTGTTGACGGAGCTCGTGTCCAAGATGCGGGACATGCAGATGGACAAGACGGAGCTGGGCTGCCTGCGCGCCATCGTCCTCTTCAACCCTGGTACGGCCCTCCTGGGGCGCCCCGCCGTCCCCCCTTGGCCCCGAACCCTCGCCGGCGCAGCGGCCCTGGGCGGACCGCACGCGTCCCCTCTATGGGGGGAGCGGCCACGCCGCCGCCTCCTGGTGGCTCTCGTGAGCGTGAGAACGTGGCGGCCTCTGCATGCGGTGGCGCTCGGTGACTCATGCTCCTCTTCCGTGGCTTGGCGAGGCCTCTGGCCGAGCCCCGTGGGCACCGGGACCACAGTGTGGCACCGCCGCCCGCCAGAGGCCTGGGCACCAGAAGAGGCGGTGTCTTTGTGAACTTGTGGGCGGGAAGTTCTAGAGCCCAGACTGTCTGCTAGGGGACGGGCTCGTGGCGGCTGTGGGCTTCGTGGGCAAGCTGGGTGAGCTGGTGGGGCCGTGGCAAAGGCAGGGGCCTGGGGGGTGGGGAGCGGGCCCCACCCTCCTGCCTTGCATCAGCTGCAGTGCTGAGGGGTCCGGCTGTGCACCCCTGAATGTCGTCTTGGGGGCAAGCCCGTTTCTCGGGGCATTTTGTCCTCGGTTTACTCTCCAAGCCTGGGGTCCTGCCGGCCTAGGGGGCAGGACCACACGTCTTAGCCCCGCCGGGTGGAGCCCCCGTTCCAGCTGTGCGCGGCCTGGCCTTCACTGAGGCCCGGGTGTGGGGCCGCTGGGGACGGGAAGCAGGAGGCCGGCGCTGGGGCCTTCTCGGGGCCTGGGGGTGCTGAGCTACGGGGAAGCCGGCCACGGCCCCAGGGTGCCCAGGACCCCGGCCCTCCTGCGGCATTGGCGCCGGGCCGCAGTGTCTGCTGGGATGTCGGACTGCCGGCCCCCTGCTGGCGTGACCCCCCCCCCCCCCCCCGGGGCTGCAGCGGCTTCACGCGGCAGCAGGCGGGCAGTGGTGGGCTCCGGCTCCGCCCCCCAGGCCGTCGGGATGCACCGCACTGGGCAGGGACTAGACCCAGGGCCCTGTGAGCCCCGAGTGCGGTTCCAGCAGGTGGTGGCCGCTCCGCAGAGAGAGGGTCTTGGCTGATGCCAGCTTGTTGGGTGTTGGGAAGCCCTGGGAGACAGGGAGGCAGAGAGGATGCTGGACGGAACCTCCTGGCACGGTGGGCTCTGGCTGGTTCCGGAAGCACCACGACGGTCACCCACCGAGCCCTGGCATGTCCTTTGCTCCTTAGATCCCCCCTGACTGCCCCGTGCCCTGGAGGCTCTGTTGGCATCGCCATCCACAGGCAGAGCCCCTCCCGGACTCAGGTCCCACCCTCGGGATCCCAGGGCTCAGGGTGGCTCTAGGCCCCTCCCCCACTCCCTTACGCAGGGCCGGCTGTTTCTGGGGTGAAGGTTCTGAGCTTTCATCCATCTCAGAGGACTGAGTCCCAAGGGCAGCAGGGGTTGGACATCAGCCTGGTTGCCACAGGGAAGTGTGGGGGCGGTCCCGTTGCCTCAGACCACCCCCCCCGGATGGGGAAGCTGTGTCAGGAAGGCCAGGGATGGGCCCGAGGTCACGTGGCCCACAAGGGGCAAGTCAGGCCTCGAGCCCCCAGTGGCCTCATGGGGGGCAGAGCCTCGTCCGAGCGGGGAGCTAGCCTGAGTGCCCAGGAGCCCCATGCAGCTTTCCGGGCGAAGCCTCTGACTCGCGGCCCCTTTGCCCTGCAGACTCCAAGGGGCTCTCGAACCCCGCGGAGGTGGAGGCGCTACGGGAGAAGGTCTATGCGTCCCTGGAGGCGTACTGCAAGCACAAGTACCCCGAACAGCCTGGAAGGTGAGCCCCCCTCCCCTGGGGCCCAGGGCCTCCCTCCTGGGGCACCCCCCCCCCGGCCCCAGGCCAGGCCACCACAGCTCAGGCACGTGTGTGAATTAGAAGGCGGCGCCTCCTCCCTCAGGGAAGCTGTGCGGCAGGGTGGGGACGGGGCGCTGTCTGACCCCGCGCGGGCGCCTGCCGCACCCCTGTAACCCGCCAGAGACGGGTCTGAGCGCAGCAGGTGCCCATTTCCGTGGGGTATGAAAATGAAGTCTCCTCTGCTCCTGAAGGGAACCCCTAGAGGCAGGGCCTTTGCGTGCTGACCCCCAGTGGGGACGGACGCCAGCACACAGTGGGTGCTTTATAAATGTGTGCAGTTTGTCTCCTACCTGACTGGGGGCGCCGGAAGGGCTGGGCCTCGTTTCTGGGTCCGCGGTGCCAAATGCGCAGGGGGTGGCTTGGTGCTGTGTCTGTCGTCCTACTCGGCCCTCCCCCTGCAAGGGGCTCTCCTGGGAGGGCGTGTGCCCCCCGCCCCGACCCCAGACCCCCTTCTCCCCCGCCCACCGGCCGGGGCGCACACTTGAGTGGGCCCCGCCCCCTCCCAGCTCATCTGGTTTGGTTTAAAGTGGAACTTCCCGAGGAAGACGGAGGGCAGGCCTGCCTGTTTTTCCTGGCGCCCCGCCGCAGCCCGTCTCGCCAGCTCAGCAGAAAACCGCTTTCTCTGGCCCCGCTCCAGACTCTGCTGCGTTTTTGCCTTTAAAACGTGGGTTGTATGGCAGCCAACCCCAGGGCTTTGTCCCCTGAAACACAGACGCTGTGAATAGTTAATGAGGCCCCGCGGCCCCTCCAGGGCCCATGTGGTGGCTGGGGGGCAGCCGTGCACGTCCCTCGAGGGGACAGGGCACTGTTCTTGGTGGCTGAGCAAGTAAGCCTGGCGTCCAGGAGCCCCAGCCTTCCCCCCTTCCCTCCCCCAGCCGGTTCCCCCCCACCCCAGGGGCCGGGTAGGGCCTGGGGATCACGCCTCTGGCTCAGCCCCAGTAGAGCTATTTCTGGGGAAGGGGTGGGTGTTGGCATGGGGCACCCGGGATGCCAGTGCTTTATGGGGTGAGGCTTGCTCGAGCACAGACCTGCTGTCCCCGCCTGGGAGCGGCCCCACCTGGGCCTCCCCACGGGAGCCACAGGCACTGCTAATACTCAGACCCACTTTTGTAGCTCTCTCCCCACCTGGAAGTCCTGCTGTGGCTCCCTATTGCCCTCGGAGAAAGCCCACATATTTTAGCTTTCCCACAGTGCCCTCCTCAGCCTGCGCCAGCCCAGCCGCTGTTTTGCCCTGGCCCTTCGTCCCTGGTCTCTGTTCCGTGGTGGGTCTTCCTTCGGGGCCTTCCCACGCCAGGCCCTGGCCTGCTGAGTGACCCACATCCCCCTTGGCTCAGCACAGGCAGGCGCTGCTGCTGCTGCAGCTTCAGGACCAGGTCCCGTCCCCAGGAGGCTGCCAGGTGCCCCCACCAGCACGGGGGTGGGGGCAGGCTGCCCACCACCATGGAGGGGGGTAGGGAGGGCCGCCCACCAGCACGGGGGGGCGCGGGGGGGGAGGGCCGCCTGCCTCCTCTTCCACGGGCTTCCCACAGGTTCGCCAAGCTGCTGCTGCGCCTGCCCGCTCTGCGCTCCATTGGCCTCAAGTGCCTGGAACATCTCTTCTTCTTCAAACTCATCGGGGACACGCCCATCGACACCTTCCTCATGGAGATGCTGGAAGCCCCACACCAAATGACTTAGGCCCGCCGGCCTGTCCTTCGCGCCCGCCTGCCCGCCGGTCTGGCCACCCCACCTGGCTGCCAGCTGCTCTTCTCTGCCGAGCCCGTCCCTGCCCCTTCCCCGCCTGGCCTGCTGGGACGCGGGGGCGCAGCCGCTAAGCCCGAGAGTCCTCGACGCCTCCTCACGTTCAGTGCGGCTCAGCTGGTCGCCGGCCCCGCCCTGGAGCTGTAGCAGCCGCTGGTGTTTGGAACACCCTGAGCTTCCCCCCCTGTGTTTGCAGTGACCCCTCGGCTGCCTGGCAGGTGCCCCGGCCAGCGCACCCTGGCCAGCGTCCGTGGCAGGGCTCAAAGGACCCCGCCTGTGCCGCCCCCGGCCCCCGGGGCAGATGAGAGGGGCTCTGGGGCAGCAGGCTTCCCTCCCCTCCCAGTGAAGGGCGAGCAGCCCCTTTTCCAAAGATGACTTGCAGTTTCACCCCCGAGCCGACCAGAACAGGAGCTGACCCCCGTGCAGGGCTCTGGGGCCACCTCAAAGCCGCAGGGACTGGGGTCACCCACCTCCCCACCTCGGTGTTCCCTCTGCATCAGCCTGGTTTCAGCTTCTTGGCTCACGCAGCCCCGTCCGCCCCAGGGTCACCAGACCCAGTGCGCGGCCCGTCCTCCGTTCCGTGTTCTGTTTCAGCCTGGCAGGAGGGGCAGGCCAGCGCCCGGTCCCCGGAGGGCTAGCCCGCTTCCCGGCCTTCCTAGAAGTCCCGGGCCAGGCCGCTGTGACTCAGCTGACCTCACAGGCAGAGGAGGCCGCTGGGGAGGCCCGCGGGGGCGAGGGGGGGGGCCTTGGAGAGCCAGAAGGGCTTGTGGGCACCGAGGCCTGGCAGGAAGGGGCAGGTGCGGCTGCTTCCTGGAGATGCTGGGAGAGCAGCCCCCTTTGCTGGCCAGCTGCTCCGTGTAGGAGGCTCTTGGAATTGGGGACCGGTGTGAGCCGGCATCCTCGGGCCTGCGGCTAGATGCCCCTCGGGGCAGGCAGCCCGGCTGCCGTCTTGTCTGGGCCACAGCCTTATGTGGGGCTCCATCAGACACTCGCTCCGGCTGATGGCTCCCAGGCCAGCCCAGCACCTGCTTCTGTAGCATCTCGGCCGCCCCGGGCAGGGACACTGCCTCCTGGGGGGTGAGGCTCCGGGCTCCGGGGGTGCAGGGGCTCTCTCAGGTTGAACCGGCTTCTTTTGCACTGTAATGCCCTCCCTTTGGTCTGAGTACTTTCATTCTCACGCCTCATACTCCATGAACCCAGCGTTTGCCACCGGCGGGGGCCCGAGCAGGGATTCACGGGGGGTGAGGGTGGGGAGTGTGCTGGCGGCTCCTGCCTGTTTGGCCCTCGAGGGGATGCTCTGTAGCCCTGGGGGGGGGTGCAAGGGCGCCCCAGGAGCAGGGTGGGGAGAGGCAGGCAAGGCCTCCATGGGGAAGTAGGTGTCGTTCTTTGCCTTCCCAGAGCCCCCGGCCCAGCTGGAAGGTGAGGCTCCAGGCAGAGGCCCTGAGGTGGCACGAAACCCCCCTTTATCCACCGGTCACCTGCTTGTCACATGGGGAGGTGGCAGAGGCAGGGTGTGCTAGGGTCGGCCCAGCTCCCAGGCACTCCCCAAATTCTCGGCAGCCTTTGGGGGCTCCGTTGTGACAAGCAGTGATGGAGGCACTCTTGGGGACTCTGTCTCGGGGTCCCCCCAGTTGTGGGAATGGCAGACTGCCCCGCACCCAGTGCCCCTGGTGTCTCCTGCACCCCGTCATTCCGGCCCCGCCCCCTTGCACCCCCTCGGGAATGGGGGCCCTTGCCTCTTCCTGGGAACTTCAGTCCGTAAAGCACTGGGGCCCCCAGGCTACTGCCTTGCCAGCCGAAGCCCCCAGCCCCTCACCCCCCCCCACCCCCAGCCCACAGGCACAGCATCCCGGGCCCTCGGGGCTGCCCTTCGCTCTTCATCTGTCTGTTGCCCTTGGCATCCATCCAGTGCTGTTCGAGGAGGTTGTAAATGGGGAGATGGCACATTGCTCAGTAGAGAGGTAGGATTTTTATTTAACCAGACCTTTAGTAGTATTACCAATCTGGTTCAATTAAGGTGATTTTTTTGTAATTATTATTATTATTATTATTATTATGGTGGGACAATCTTTAATTTTCTAAAGATAGCACTAACATCAGCTCGTTAGCCACCTCTTGCCCGTCCCTGCCTCGGCCGGGCTGGACGCTGCCCGGGCCCCGGGCCCGCAGGCGCCTCTGGCCCTCGCTCCGCCGACTCGCCGCCCCGCTCTGACATTCCCACGGGGTTCCCACCGCAGAGGCCCACGGCCCACGTCTGCGGGGCGTCAGCAAAGCCAGGCTCCGGCTTGCCCCCACGTCAAGCGTCTCCTGGGAAGCCAGCCTGCCCTTGTCACCTGGAAGACACGGTCTCTGGGGGAAGATGGCCCCACACCCTCGGCCTTCCAAGCCTCGGTGTTCTAGAGGATTTGAGCTGGCGGCCCCGCGGCAAGCGTGGGAAGCCAGGCCAGAGCTCCCTCCTCTGTGGGGGCCCCTCGGAGGGCCCGGCCGGACAGTGCCGCCAGTGGGTAACCAGCTGATGTTGTCCCCATCACGGAATTCCGGCGCATGGCCTGGTCCCTGGCCACGCAGGGGTGTGGTGTGAAGTGTCCGTGCTGTACAGAGAGAAACCGCCAGAGCCGCACGCCGCCGCCACACAGCACACGCGTAGCAGTCAACACCGTTTTGTTTTCATTTTTAGTCCAGACTTTCCCCCTCCTCCCGGTTTCCTACACGTTTGCTTCACGTAAGCAAGTAATAAGGACCCTCCTCTGGTGAAATCCGGTTCGAATGAATATCTCAAGGCAAGGAGTGCATCTATTTTAAGATGCTTTGGAGCAAGCAGCTTTACTGGCCCCCAATCTGTAGCCACGCCTTAGCTGGGACGCGTAGCTAACGATTTAGAAAGGTTGACGCGTACACACAGAGATAAAATGTCTAAAGCATCGGGAAAGGTAAAAAAAAAATCTATTTTTGTACAAATGTAATTTTATCCCTCATGTATACTTGGATGATGGGGGCGGGGCCTATTTTGTTTCTGCGTCTAGAGCGGAGGAGGCGCTTCCTCAGTGAAGAGTGGGGTGTCCCTGCCCCCTGCGCGGACGTCCCCCTCGGGCAGGGGCGGGGCGAGGTCTCCGGAGCCTGGCGCTGCCCTCCCCGCTGCCCTGCCGGACTCGGTCGGACTGTGCGCTTCCTTCCCCGCAGCCGCCGCGGCAGGTGCCGGGCAGGGACGAACAGCGGTGTCGGATCGTGGAAAGAAACAGACACTGAGAGGAGAAACGAAATACGAGCGTTTGAAAATCCATCCCCACGTTCTCGTTTGTCCTCGTGGGGGGCGTCGGGCGCCGGTCTGGAAGTCGGGGTGGGCCGGGCCTCCGGCTGCCGCCCAGGTGGGGGGCCTTGGTGGGGGTCCTGGCCGGTCCTCCTGGAGCCCCCCTGCGCCCAGGGCTGGGCCAGAGGGCCCCCCACACCCCTGGGCACCCGTGTGCTGCAGCCTGCCTGGCCCCGGGCCGCCCGAGCTGGATGGGTGAGCCGCTCACACACAGGCCCACAAAATGGATGGGGTCATCTGGCTGCCCCACTAATAACGGGGTGGTGACACCCCATCTGCTCCGTCCCATGTGATAAATGCTCTTCATCCCCGCGCCGTCTGTGGGCCCGACCACGGTTTGGAGGTGGTGCCTGTACCTCCTCGTGCGCCCTCTGTCCAGGGGGCACCTTCCCAGGGAGGCCCTGGGCACCCGGAGCCGGAGTCCTGAGGGCAGCAGACAGCTGGCCTGAGGGCGAGGGCCGCTCCCAGCCAGAGGGGGTGAGCCCGACAAGGCCCCCGGCTCCCCTTTTGTGCCCCTCCCCAGAATGTGCTCACACGCACACGTGCACAAACACGCCTGTGTCACACGCAACATAATATGCACACACACTGACATTCCCACCCTCCTGCACACACAACGTAAACGCGCACACCACGCACGCACACAGTTCCCGTGCACGTGCACACACGGATACGAGGACCTCACCAGCCCCAGGAAGTGTGAGGCGGGCGCAGCGTGAGCGGCTCACCCGCGTTCTTCCGGGTTTGTTGGTGAGGCGGCCGCATGCCGACACCGTGAGTCGCTCCCTGGTTCCCGTGGCTGAGTCCGGGCACCAGTGGGGCTGCTTCCTGGTCTGGAGAGAGAGTCGGTCGGGGGCCGCCCGGAGAGTGGGAGGGCGCCTCCCCGCCGACGGGCCCCTCGTCCGGCCGTCCACGGGACCGGGCGTTTCTGGGCGGGTCGTGTTCCGCAAGCAGGCGCCAGCCCAGCCCTGGACGAGGCCCCCGGGAGTGGTCGTGGGGGGGGGGGTCTCCTGTGGGCTGTGAGGGCCCTCGGGATATGTGTCCCCATGAGAGCGCGGGCCTGACAGGTGCAGGGCCAGGAGGGGCTGCGAGGGTCCCGGGGGGAGACCCAGGAAGCAGTGCTCCTCTGGGTTGGGTGCGGGAGGGCAGACCCGCATCTTCCTAACGAGCCGCGGGAGCAGGTGAGGGGGCTTGGGACCCAGCCGCTTGGCCCTCTCTGTTGGCCTGAGTCAGCTCCGGGTGGTGGGGGGCTGAGATGACGTCCGTGGGGGCCACTCCTGCCCTAACCCAGGGTCCTCCCAGCATTCTCCAGGACGCAGGCTCCGGGGAGCGCGCCTGGGGGGAGGGGCGCGGAGGAGCCAGGGTGAAGGCGGCGCCAACAGGCAAGTGAGTGCAGGTGGGCGAGGCCCTGACAGCAGCTTCCTGCGGTGACACGGGGCCCCAGTGACCCCGCAGATCGGGAGGCCTGCTGTGCGCCACTGGGTTTCCAGCAGTCAAGCAGAGACCCCGGGCTGCGCGAGGGCGGCCCGGCCACCTGGCCTCAGGCCTCCTGCTGCCTGGGCGACACCTGCCCGGGGGTGAAACCTGCCCGGGGCGGTCCCCTGGACCAGAGATGCTGGACTTGACTGTCACCAGCACGGTCAGTGGTGACAGGCCAGGCTTGCAGGGCTTGGGCTTGTAACTGGAGAGGTGGTGGGGGGCAAGGGGTTTTGGGGGCCAGTGCTGGGCCCCCACTGTCTGGTGACAGGAAGGGGCTGGCCCTGCCATCGGAAGCGAGTGGGCAGTGTGATGGGAGCATGGGCATGCTTGGGAAATGGGTGGGGAGAGACCCTGCCTAGGACACAGGACAGGCGGGTGCCATTGCTGGCCATGAGGGTGGCAGCACCCAGTGACAGGAACCCAGGGGAGCTGGTCAAGGCAGTGGTGGGGACCTCAGGCAGCAAGGGGCTGGGGCGCGGGAGGGGGGACACGTAAAGATCTCAGTCCCCAGCTCCCAGCAGCCCCTAGTGCCCAAGCAGCCCCTCTGTGCCGAAGCTCGGGGGCTGCTGGTGACCTTGTGTCCTGGGGGCGTCAGGGGACCCCGCCATTCCATCCAGCGTTTCCTGCCACAGAGCCCAGGGCGCCCAGGGCAGCCTCCCAGTCGCACACACAGCCCCTGGGGAGTCCTGGGTGGGGAGAGGAGCCCAGCCCAGAAGCAGGGCGCCCGAGGTGTGGAGCAGCACTGCCCCCTGCTGGAGGCGCCGGGGCTGAGCCCACCCTGCTTCCTCCCGTCCCTTTTTGTCCATCCGTCCATTCGCAGGGGCTTCTAATTCTCTGTGCATTAGCGTCACTGGCCCCCGGCCCCCGAGCCGATTACCTGTGACGGTCTGGGGTGGACGTGCCTGGGACGGGGCCAGGCAGCCCGGCCACTGTATGCTTCTCCTGGGCCTCAGTTTCCCCCTCCCCACAATGGAGGTGAAAGGTCCCACACCCCAGAACCGTGATGTGGGTGTACAAGACCTTGGTCATCCAGACTAAATGCTCTGAAGTCACCACTTCCTGTTTTATTTTGCTGTGAAGAGGCTCTGACACAGGGCAAGGTCCTGGATGGGGTGGGGGCTGGGCCCCTGGAGACTTGGCCCCCAGGGCGCCACGTCTGGGCAAGGCCAGCGCTGTGGGGGTTTGGGGCCTGGGCCAGGATGTGGGGCATCGTTGTGCCCTTGAAGGTGAAAATCCAAGGGCAGGTTGGAGATGCCTGGGGGGGGGGGAATCTGGAGGGTGGGGGCTTCATTCATTCACTCATTCACTGCACAACAGGCCCCATCCCTTGGCCTCCACAGCGCGACCCGGGCACAGCCTTTCCTGATCCTCAGCCTCAGGCCCGATCTTGACCCCTGCCTGCCTCCCTGGCCTCAGTCTCCTGTCCGTGGCCGGGTGGACGCCGTGGGGAGCATGCTCCACGAAGGCCCGGAGCTGAGTCACCTCGCTACTGCTCAGGGAAGAAGTCGGGGCCGGGAGGGAAGGGGACCACTCAGGGTCGGACAGGGCAGTGCAGCCTGGGCCTCTGCCTCCAGGCAGTACTCGGGAGAAGAGTGGGCTGCCCGACGCCTGCGGACCTCCCCCTTAGCTGGACCTCTGGCTCCCTGAGGCCACATCTGTGTCCCTCAGAGGAGGCCGGGAGGCAGGGGGTGGGTCCCCCAGAGCGAGATGCCATCCAGCGATCGCCCTGCCCTGAAAACATGCCCATCCCAGACCTGCACCCAAACACCATGGTGGCTTTGGTCGCCATCACGCAAACCGGAAAGCGGCCAAGACGCCCTCTAGTAGGTGACAGACAGACAGACTGACATCCATCCAGACATGGAGTGCCCTTAGCAATGACAAGAAATGAGCAGTCAAGCTGCAGAGGGACCTGGCTGCATCATAAGCATATGCAGGCGAGTGGCGGAGACCTGGGAGAGAGGGCGACTCCGTGTGACTCCACTTGCCAGGGTTCTGGAAGGCGGCACTGAGCGGGCAAGCAGACGCTGGTTTCCAGGGTTTTGAGTGGGGAAGGCTGGGCAGGGGGAGCACAGGGGACTCTTCAGGGCGGCGAACCCCAAAATGGTGGGCACGTGGCACTATGCATCTGTCAACACCCACAGCCCTTGGCCACACCAACAGGGAACCTGGCTGTGGGCAAACCGAGGGCTTCAGGCGGTCCGGCGGATGCCTGGGCGGATGTGATGGGCACAGAACAGGCCCCCGTATGTAACGCAGGTGTGTGGGGCTGCCTCACTGAGGGTGGGTGGGGGTGGGGCAGAGGTGGGGGGGGGTTTGGAAAGGTGAAGGCGGAGGGTGTGTGTGTGGGCCAGCGGGTGCTCTGGCCCACGAAGCCACTCCCGAGGCTGCAGGGTGCTGGGTCTGGCACTGCCTTTAAGTGGGAGGGAGTCAGGCCTGTCCGTGTTGGGGGGTGGGGGACGGGCTGGCGGGGACGGAGGCCGCGGCCACCACGCGGAGGGTCAGAGCTGGAGGCGGGGGGTGCCGCCCTGCTGGCTTCCTACGGGAACCGCTGCGGGTTCCCTGCCCTGCTCTGCACGCTGAGGGTGGGGGCCCAGACCCTGGCCTCTGACTGGGGCTGATTCTAGGGCTGGGGAGGCCGGAGAGGGAAAGGGGTCAAGTCAACCAGAACAGCGAAAGCCCAGGAGTGGGGCCGATGGGACAGACACGGGGTGTGACCGCACAGCTCCGGGAGGCCCGGGGCGGCCAGAGTGAAGCGGCGCTGGCGGGCGGCTCCAGGTGACTCACAGACTCACGGGGGTGAACAGATGACAGGAGTCGTCAAAGCGCCGGTGAGAAAAATGCCAGAAAATTGGCGTAGATGCTTCGCACCCGGGAGGTGGTGCCTGACCCCACTCCCGAGTGCGGGCTGGGCAGAGGGACGGCGTCAGAGGGGAGATGAAGAGGGACTCCTCGGTGCGGAAACCTGGCAACGTGACCCTGGCCAGTGGCCAGAGCCACCGCCGGTGACAGCCACGGCGTGCGCCCCGGGATGATGTGATGACAGCGGTGCCTCTCCCTTGTGGTGTCCACCCCCCACCAAGCACCCACCCGGGAAACAGATCCAGCTAAGGGACACCCCACGGGACACCCGCCCATCCTCCTCGGAACCAGGGAAGTCTGAGGAACTCGGTCCAGAGGGGCTCAAGGAGACGCAGTGGTCAAGTGTCACCTGGGGTCTTGGATAGGGCCCCGGGGGCAGGAAGAAGGCATCAGGTGAAAAACAAAGAAGGTCCCAGGAAGGCGTGAGCGTGACGCACCAGCCCCGCCTAGTTTGTTAGGACAAATGTGTCCAGCGGTGTGAGAGGCCAGCACAGAAGGGCCGCTTGGGGGGGGGGGTGCTGAGCCATCTTTGCACCTCTCCCTAAATCTAATGCTGTTCTGAATCCAACAAGTTTATTTAGAAAATTGAAGCGGCATGTGTACATCAAAAATGTCATCGACCGTGGTCTGGG